CCCCCCCCAAGAGACTCCGGTTTGATGGTAATATGTATATATTACTTGTCAAAAATTATTATTTTTTTAAAGAAGTTTCTTATGCTGCATTATTTAATAATACTAAGACTGCATTATTTAAATATATATTTATATTATTATAATTAAATTATAATATAATTTAATATTATATAAATTATATATTATTTATTATTATAATATATATTATAATGATTATCAATGTTGTGCTGTTTATTTATTCTTGTAGAAAGTAATCATTGATGAGTGAGAACCAAATCAGCATATTAGAATGATTTCTGAAGGAACATGTGACACTAAAGTCTAGGTAAATAGAAAACAGTTATTTTAAACTGTAATCGTTTTTACTGTATTTTTGCTTTGATGAGCAAAAGAGACTTGACTATATATCTAAACAGTGAATCAAGTTAAGAAACAGATTTGTAGTTTGTACTCACAGTACAAATTACAAATCGAGCACACTGCATCGTGGGAGACAGTATGCAGAAAGTGTTCCAGATGTTATGCGTACAGAAAATCTGCATAGTAACTACTGCAGAAACAGTGAGAGAAGTATGGTGGTAGTATTCTGTTCTGAGTATAGACAGTGGGTGTGTGAGTGTGTACTCTCACCTCCAGGCAGTTCTGCAGGTCCACAGCTCTCTCTCTCTGGGTCAATATCTGACACCCATAGCGTGTGAACGCATGACTTCCAAAGGCCGTAATGTGCCATCTCACACGTCTGGTTGTTCCTGAAGTGTTTTGGCTGGGATAGCTCCACCCAGAACTCTGTGCCCATGCCAAGCACTGTCAGAGTCACGCCTATGAGAGCGACGAAAAATGCCAGCTTGATCTTGCCTTCCTGGCTGTCACTCATTCGAGGGGGCCTCGACCGTTTACCTGAACGCCCGCTCTTACTGCCAACTCCACCTAAAGCTGCCATACCCGCTCTCCCGTCCTCATCCTGCTGCAAAAAAAAGTTGGACCACATGGCAGCCGCAATGCTTGGAGATGAGTGGCGAAACTCCCAGAGGCAAAGTCAAGAAAGGGGACAAACAAATAACTAAAGCAAAAAACAGGAAACTAGAGACATTAGTCTGGAGTTAGGCGGACGGACGGACGGATAATGAGAACGCAGAGAGGTGTATTAATAGAAAGCTCAAAAAGGAACAGGAAATGATAGTGAATTACAATGTTCTGTGATTTAAAAGGAATCCAGCGTGCAAGAAATTCATGCGACAGGGGGTCATTTCTGAAGAGCGCAGAGTGGGAATGAACTGACTTCTACAAACAAGAGAAGGTTTGATAAGAAACTAGACAGGAATAATGGGTAGATGGGAAAGAACCACTTGATGAGAGACACGACACTGGATTGAAGCCTTATAGAGCCGTGAAAAGACGACACATTCCTCTTTTTGATGAACCTGCAGAAAAAAAGAAAAAAAAAAAGACTAGAATTCAAAACACATAGTACATAAATAGTAGCAGAAAGACTGAAGGATAAAGTTATCAGAAATCTACAATTGATCTTTTTCCTTTAGTCACTAAATATTTAGTTAAAAAACAATAATTTGCCAATGGGATACAGAAAAACTATTCAAGATGCTTGCTACTTCTAATTAGCAATTGTAATTTTAATTCAATTCTATGGTTTTAATTTAATTCGAACACTACAAGGATGAATTTGTTAGCATTAGGCCATACATTAGTTATCATGAATTAACAAAAACAGCCACTTCTAACAGCAATTATTAATTTTCAATGTTAATTCAAAAATATTATTTTATTGTAATTTCATGTTCATTCATGACACAAGCCTGAAAAATTAAACCTTTTAATTTAGAAGTAAAATTAGAATTGAACTAGTTTTTAAAAGGTCTAAATAAATTATTTATAAGTCTTGTTTTTAGAGTATAGATCTTGAAAACTGTTTTTTTTTTTTTATTCCATTGATATTTTATACCTGAAAACAAGACCGTTTCAATACAATTTTATTTTATTTCTCTTTAAGGTCATAACTAATCCAGTTATTAGTGGCACAGAGAACAGCCTTTGAGGGATAGTCCACCCAAATATGAAAAAGTTGTCAATTTACCCTAAAGTTGTTCCAAACCTGTACGAGTTTCTTTTATCAGAGATCTACAATCAGTTGACGGTCCCCATTGACTTCCACAGTATGGAAAAATTACTACGGAAATCAATGGGGACCAGCAACTGTTTGGTTACCAACATTCTTCAAAATATCTTTTTCAGAAGAAGAAAGAATTCGTACAGGTTTGAAAAAGCTTGAGGAGAAAATAATGGCATCTTTTGCATTTTTTGGTGAATTACCCCTTTAACACTTTGAAAACAAAATTATACCTTTGTCCTCTGTTGAGTAAACAAACAGGCAGTAAGCTTACAGAGAAGGTTAATACAGGTCACGATTAGGTCACATTGTCTAAGAATTAGCTATGCCAGATGCGACTCCAAGATATCAACACATACCCGCATAACTCGGCCAACTTTAGCCCAGCCTGTTTGATCTGTGCCATTTTAAGGCCTCATAAATACCCGAGCATTACGTGTACAGAGAACTATTAGATCTATGGACAGAGAGTTTCAAGGTGTGCGGCGTTCTACTACTCTAAAAAAAGATGCGAGAGCAGGAAGAGTTTAACGTGGACTGAACAGACTGAGGGATGAAACACAAGGTTGTTGAGAATGGAGGCGAAAAGAAGAGCCAGGTGGAGCAATAGGTGTTAATTTATGTGTGACAGGCAAACCGAAAGAGGGTCTAAAGTCGTTATCACTGTACCCGTACAGGGAGGGAGTACTACAAGACAAGGCTCATTGAGGCCAATCACCCACACAGGGGCAATAAGAACACAACAAGGCTAGAAACAAGCATGTGGCCCATAGCCAAAATGATAGCATGATACACTCACAAACATGCCACACATATGTTCTTGAATTAGCTCAAATTCGCTCTATATTTCTTTAGTAAAATATAGTACAAACAAATAATTATTGTTATTAAATACATTTTAATATTAAATAAAAAAATTAATTATATTTTATTTTTTCCTTGAACATTCTAGACACTATTCTACATATTTTGAAGTTTATTTTTGAATTAAGTTTGCCCCATTGGCAAATAGTTAAAGTATACACTACCATTCAGAAGTCTGAGGTCAGTATATTCAACTTTAAGTCAATACACAAGTAAAAAAACTGATAATGTGTGACTACACATGATATAAAAGTAGATATTAAGTAAAGGTTTTTGGGGCCATATTATGTGTCATTTGAGATATAACACACTATCAAAACACTAAACACGATATGGAAATGTAACACACAGGCTATAATTAACCCACTAAGATCATCTCCACCACAGCTCTTTATATTACCACAACTCTGTCAAAACTTTCTTCAAAACCATTACGCTTCTATAATATCCACTATAATTTGCAATTTGTTGCCTCAAAAGGAAAACATCTGCACCCATAGCAAGGGGCTCACATCTCAGTCAAGAGACCGTTTTGGCAGTCAGAATGGAAGAAACCAATTACCGTTTTAAAGCAACTGGGCTTCAGCCCCACATTTGCACATTAGGTCTACTATATAGTATCCAGAAACAATGTATAAACATTTCTCAGCAAAATAAATGACATCCACGTAACTGCCTAAATGTTTGTAGAGTATCAAATAGCAAGAAAAAAGCAAACAAAGTCTTGACACATCAAGTCACATATTTAACAGGTATCTGCTACAATAAAAACTGAATTATGAATGCATTTTAATACGCAAAATCAATTACAACCATAGCAGTCTGCAGATAATACGTTTATACTTCTATCAATACATCCATGCACCCATATTTTAATAAACTGCACAACATAAACCTATTAAATGAAATTTAAGGCTTGTGTCACAGATTTTTATTAAACTATGACAGTATGCACGTGTGCAGCAAGTGCATTGAATAGCCATCAAGCTTTAGCAACAGTGAGAGCAATCGAATCCTGACCTGTTCTGTGTGGGTGCAGATCTGATGACTAGATACATGAAACTCAGCTGAGAGAGGAGGAGAAGGAGGGACGTAAAGAGAGCGAGAGAGAAAAAGAGAGAGGGACAGAAAAAAGAAGGGTGGAGAAAACTGGGACTGGGGCTCATTAAATCAAGTAGTAGAGACTATGTATGACAGTATGAATGTATGACAGCTTAATCACCAAGCAGAAGGTTCAGGCAAGAGTATTTATCTGCGCATGGACAGGTCTGACATTTTCCAGTTTATGTCAGTGTGAGTTTTGCATGTCTGTGGGAAAGTAAATCGAGTGTATGTCAGCTGATCCACGGATGTTTGTTTGTGTGTGTGTGTGTGTGTGTGTATGGGCAAGGCTTCTATTTTGGACAAGCACCTGTTAATGACATTAAGAGCTTGGGAGTTACAGTTGCAAAGACAGAAAAGAGAGAGAGGACTAACACAATATGGGGCATTATCAGTGGGTGGAAAATAATGAAGCCAGAAAGATGCTCACTAATTAACCAACAGAACATGTGCCTCCATCCGTTAGTAGATGTTCATTCACAGTCGTTCCATAAATCAATAGAAAACATTTGTTGTCTATATGATCAGAATTTCTGTCTCTCCAAAGTTATAAGAACTATTTCATTGAACTTTAACAAAGAAAAATATAAAAGCATACTATTCATTTACAAACTAAATGCATTTACATCTTTCAAAGACTTGGCACCATGAACAACACATTCTACATTGTTGCAAACTGCTGATTCGCCACCATGATAATGTTTCCAAGCTGGCTAACATAGATGAGGTGGTGTCAAATTTGCAAAAACAGAGAACTAGTCAGTATGTTTTGTACAATATGCCTTTACTTTCAAGCAAAAGTGTTTAATTAATTGGCTTACATTGTAGCTGAATAATTTCCAGGTGAAAACGTTGGAAAAAATAAAATTAAATCTAATATAGTGCTAAAGATTAAAACTGATCATTCTTTTGCGGCAGGGCACATAAAAATCTGAATTGCTGGTCCGACTGGACCAGAAGTTGAAAAAACCTTACTATTGAGCTCTGCTTGTCAACAAATTTTCCTGGCACTCTAAAAAATATTGGTCAGTTTGGAATTCATTTTCAGACATTTTTTTGCATAACATGCATCAGGTAGTCTGTAGCTGTCGGTAGACTCAGAGACCATTTTTATCTAACCAGTAACTTTCTTCTTAATAAAAATAAATTTATATCCATGGACTCATGCCAAACAGCTAAATGCAATTTTGTTATATTCTATTAAAATTAACCACCTGATAAACGACTCTTTTCCCAGTCTTTGCAGAGGACTTTATTCAGTTTAATCTACTGGTTTTGTGAAGCACATTAAACTCCTCAATCTCTATTTCTCAGCATTTCCAGTCAACTTATAGAAACACATGAATATCAGCAATCAACATATTTCTGATATTTTTGTCCTTTCTTTTCTTTAACCAAAAAAAAACCCCCCAACCCACTCTAAAAACAGACTGACTACTGACTGACCCATTGCTCATAATACTCAGATACCGTATTGGAACTACACTACTTGAAGTGAGCAGTGCCTGTTAGCACTATCTGCTGGCAGAATACAGATGCAGTGTGTATCAAGTCAATTCAAACGCATTGAGTTTATTTCACCAGAAGTTTCTCTGGTCTTCATACATAAACGCATTGTATTAAATCAACTCAGCGAAGTTGATTAGTTCAAATTAGTTTTTAAAAAACAGCAGTGGACAGTTAGATACAGAATGTATAAAAAGAAAAAAATAAATAAATAGGAGTATCTTTTTCACTGTGTATAAATTTGGTTAGATCGGGCCAGGAAAATAGGGTTCACGAAAAACAGTTCAACTATTATAAAAGAAGGGAGCGATAGCAGGAAAAAGACAGAGGAGGATGGGGAAAATAGAGGACAGTATAGACGTAATTGGTAATATTCACCCTCTACAAGATTCACCTGTAGCGGCTTTACCTCATACATGTATGGTGTCAAAAGATGACCTGGAAACTCCTCTGGCTTTTTAACCTCTACACTTTTACACAGGAAACCTCATTCACAGCCTAAATATAAAACCATATCCAAATAACAAAGACTTCTCTCCTGAAATACCCCCTCTCACCTTCTTGTTTGAGTGTAACATTCATTTCTGTAGTTGTCATCATTTCTCTTTCCTCACTTGCTCCTTTACATCCTCCTCACACTCCTATCTGACCAGTGTGTGAGCTGTACAGATGATAGAGCAGGAATTTAACATTGAGATAAAGTGACATGTAAATTCACTATGGGCCAAAATTAAGCTGGAAGTTTAGTGGCATGTCTAACTGAATCCTTTTCTGTAGATAATGACATGGTACGGTCCATTTTCCCATCTTAAAGCTTTGCACATACTTCAACGTTGTTGCCATCATAAAAAAAAAACATGACAAATGATTGGTTCGCTACATTCTAACCAATCACAAGTCATGCTTTTAGTCTGCCAGAATTTAAAAAGCTCACACTCTCTCGGACCTCATAAATCTACAAAATAAGGGGCTTTCGAGAGATTCAAATCACACCATCTGCATCTCTCCGAGTCTCTCTCGCTCTGGATTCTGTCCTGCCTCTACCAGAAGTTACGGCGGTGGTAGGCATCAGGGTCGCAGTATTTAGTCACCACCACTCTGTTGGCGAATTTCCTTCCCGTTAAGCCTTGCATTGCCTTCTGGGAGTCAAACACTGACATGAACTCCACGAAGATCTAAGACAAAGAAAAAAAAAAGACCATAAATAACTGTTTCAAATGGTCACGTTGAAATGTGACAATGTACAAGCAGTTTTTAAACCTTTCCAGTGCCAGGAACTTCCACGCCATCAACGGGACGTGGGATCTCGATGCTCTTGACCTGGCCATATTTGGAGCACTCCTCTCTGACGTCTTCCACGATCTCCTCATACTCGTCATCATCCAGCAGCTCCTCTGGAGCCACCATGTTCATCAGACACAATACTTCTGTGGGAATGCCGCCCATCTGAGTCACCGAGCTGTTCATGAGACCTGGAACTTGAAGGGTAACTGGTGTCTGGTTTATACCCGTCTTCAGAGGAAAGCAGGGAAGAGGGTGAGAAACAGAAGATAAGGTCTACATGGCCTACATCCAGTAAATAAACTATACACTATTCACACTTTTCCCTCACCAGTGTGGTGTTCTTGGAGCCGACGCTTGCTCTCTGGACCAGGAGTTTCTTGTCACCCAGCTGCATCCCGTTTAGCCCTGCGATGGCCTGTGATAGTAAACAGTGTGTGCCTTGGAGAGGTTAGCATGGGTGTCAACCAACAGCTCTGACATTGCCTTTAGCTCATGCCATGATAAATTCTAGCTAAATATTTGTTTCTCATAGATTTACGGATAAAGCCAATATTAAACAGTACATGTAATAAACATAAAACAACGAAGCCAACAGTACATGCAGCCAAATGTGTTATTTGCTGAGCATTTACTGGCTGATTATGAAGGTGTAAAGCTTTGCGTTGTCATCACCTGGTCACTGATATTGACATCAACATATTCACAGAAGGCATAGCCCTTAGAGAGGCCTGTTGCGCTGTCTTTCACCAAATTAAAGGCCTTCAGAGGGCCAAACGATGTCAGCAATTCCTTGACCTGTGGAACAGAGAAAAATCACTATGTAAAACTTTACAAATATAAACACACGCACCATTCAAAAAGTCATGCATTAAATTGATCCAAAGTCACAGTAAAGACTAGGAAAAAAACATTTCAAACAAAATCTTTTGAATGTTCTATTTATTAAACAGTTCTGAAGACCAATTTCTGAAAGACCATGTAATACTCGAGACTAGGGATGTAACGATTCACTCAACTCACGATTCGATTCACGATTCGATTCGATTCACGATTATTATATATTTTTTTTACAAAATTAGATTTAAGACAAATTATAAATTAAATGTGTCCTTTTATTATTGCTTGGACAAAATGCTGCAAAGATGCTGCATACATGCAACATGAGCAGTTTTTAAACTAAATTAGATTGTATAGTTTCGAAATTTGAAGCAAAAACAGAATGGTTTGACTTCAGTTTTGTGAAACTAAATAAAAATATCTGCATGAAACAGCAGAGCTGAATGAGATGCAGATTCACTCTCTGCCAGCAGGTGGCGCTTAAACCGTTTCCTGGTTTCCGCTGTAAACAAAGCAGCGCTGAACTTATGAGCTTTAATATGCATTATACAGAGGCAAGATGAAAAGAAAAAATACCATCTAAACTTTTCTAAAGACAGTAAGTTCTCCTCAGACATACATTCATATAAACTCCTACACCTAAATGAATCGCGATTTGTTTAGCATCTCAACCGATTTGAATCGTCACATATTTGAATCGATTTTCAACCGGCTCGCAGTTAATCGTTACATCCCTACTCGAGACTAGAAAAGCTGCTGAAAATTCAGCTTTGCTGTCACAGGAATAAATTACATTTTAAAATTATAGAATGCAGCTCTTTTATACTGTAATAATATTTCACAATATTACTGTTTTTACTGTATTTTGGCCAAATAAATATACATCGGTGAGCATTTGTGAACAAGTGACTTGTTGCTTTTTAATCATAAATGAAACGTATACAGTGGGGTGCTTGAAAATTTGAGAACTCTGTTTAGAATTTTCTGTTTCTGCATAAATATGACCCAAAAGATCATCAGAATTTCGCGCAAAGTTGACAAAAAGAACCCAATCAAACAATTCAGAAAAAATATATACTTGGTAATTTATTTTTTCCTGAAAATGATCCAATATAACAGATATGTGAGTGGCAAAAGTATGTGAATCTCTATAATTAGCATATAATTTGAAGGCGAAATTAGAGTCAATCTGTTCAGAGGTGTTTTTAATCAACGGGATGAATGGCAGGTGTCAGTGCGTGCCCTGTTTTAATTAAAGAACAGGGATCTATCAAAGTCTGATCATGTTTGTGGAAGTGAATTATGGCAGCCAGGAACAAAGGAGATCTCTAAGGACCTCAGAAAAAGAGTTGATGTTGATCATCAGGCTGGAAAACCATCTCTAAAGAGCTTGGACTCCACAAATCCACAGTCAGACAGATTGTGGAGGAAAATCAAGACCATTGTTACCCTCCCCTGGAGTGGTTGGCCAACAAAGATCGCTCCAAAGCAAGAAGTGTAATAGTCCATGAAGATGCAAAGGACCCCAGGGTAGCTTCTAAGTAACTAAAGGCTTTTCTCACATTGGCTAATGTTAATGTCCATGAGTCCACCATCAGGAGAACACTAAACAAGCATGTTGTGCATGACAGAGTTGCAAGAAGAAAGCCACTGCTCTCCAAAAAGAAGACTGCTGCCCCTCTGCAGTTTGCTAAAGATCATGTGGACAAACCAGAGGACCTGGAGAAAGGTTTAATGGATGGATGAGACGAATAGAAATTTTGGGTTTAAATGAGAAATGTTGTTTGGTGAAAGGAAAACACTGCATTCCAGCATAAGAAACTTTTCCCATCTGAAAAACATGGTGGTGGTGGTAGTATCATGGTTTGGGCCTGTTTGGCTGCATCTGGGCCAAGACGGCTTGCCATCATTGATGGAACAATGAATTCTGAATTATACCAGCAAATTCTAAAGGAAAATGTCAGGACATCTATCTGACAACTGCGTCTCAAGAGAAAGTGGGCCATGAAGCAATACAATGACCCCAAGCACACAAGTCGTTCTACCAAAGAATGGTTAAAGAAGAACAAAGTTAATGTTTTGGAAAGGCTGAGTCAAAGTCCGAACCTTAATCCAATTGAAATGTTGTGGAAGTATCTGAAGCAAGCAGTTCACAGGACATTACAGAATTTAAATTGTTCTGTACTGAGGAATGGGCTAAAATTCTTTCAAACTGTTGTGAAGGACTGATCAGCAGTTGCAAGAAATGTTTAGCTGCAGTTATTGCTGCAAAAGGGGGTCACACCAGATATTGAAAGCAAAGATTCAAATACTTTTACCACTCACAGATGTGCAACACTGGATAATTTTTTTCAATAAATAAATAAATGACAAAGTATATACAATATATTTTTGGCTCATTTGTCTGATTGTATTTTTTTTGTCTTATTTCAAAATCTGATGATTCTGGTCATATTTATATAGAAATATAGAAAAATCACAAACTTTCAAGCACCACTGTATATGCATTTTTCATATTGACAAAAGGGAGCTTAGAATCATAGAAGCAACTGTTCTGTGGAGCATGAAAAGGTTTTGTATTTCATTTTGTAAAGCATAAAATGTAAAAAGACTGGCAGATCTGATTCTGAAAGCGCTGCCCAATCGAGGGATAACTCGGCGTCCCTTCAATGAGCGGACTGTCAGTGACTGGAACACAATGCCATTTTAACACAAACCTGGTCATCGTTGAGGTAATTTGGCAGACCGCCAATGAAGAGTTTATGGGCCGAATCAGGCACCACCGTGGAGACGACGCCTACAGAGAAAGAACCAGAGTGTGACCAACAATGATCGAAATTAAATCAATAACTACTAAACTTTTGAATGAAAAGAACAAAACATTGCGCGTACAAGAATTGGGGGAGCAAAAGAGAGACGTGCCTGGGACATAGACACTGGGATTCTCACTCATGCCTGGCAGAGGCTGGTAGTCGTGTGGTCGACGAATCTTTAAACTCTGTCCCTGGAAAATTATGCCATCAAATGCCATGGCCTGTGTCGTTTCATCCACCGAACGAAACTGTATTGCCAAGCATAAAAATAACATTATTAGGCTCCCAGAATTTCCTGAAGCTTTTATGTGAGGATCTACAAAATTTGCTCTACCACTCTGAATGAAGACTGACCTCCAAAAAGGCAAAATTCTTGTCCTGGTTGATCTGAACAGCAAGGACTGGGTTACCTGGGGCCTGAGTCAGGCCACCCAAACGCATCTGAGCATTGAAGAAGTCCATCATAGACTCCTATTAAAAAAAAACGATTTCAGAATGCAATGCTATTAATCAAACTTGTGTAAGAAAAAAAGCTAAGCATTAAACAAAATTAATCAGTTGTACTCCAGTTTATGGATGACAGCCCAAATTATACTGGATTCATGAATTTCATAATAAGTGATAAGATAATCACATACTACTGAATGTCAACAATAAAAATGAATCTTACCTCTGTGATGCCAAATGGGATGTTGCCGACATAAAGTCGCCGGGCCTGTCGAGTCATCTGACTGCCCACAACAGGAACAGGTGTTGGGGTCACAGCCAGACCCTCAGGGGTCATTGTGGGTAGCAGAGCAGTGGCTGGGATCTGACCAGCAGCTGAAGTCAAAGAGAGGTTCATGAGTATGTTAGACATATGTTGGGCATATGAACACAACCGTTAAGGAAACCACATTGCGATATTACAAATTTAAAGGGGTCATATGATGCGATTTCAAGTTTTCCTTTCTCTTTGGAGTGTTACAAGCTGATTGTGCATAGATAAGATCCCTGAAGTTGCAAAGACTAAAGTCTCAAAACCAAAGAGATATTCTTTATCAAAGTTAAGACTCTGCCACGCCCCCCTAAAACGGCTCGTTCTAACACGCCCCCACATATCTACCTCACTATGTGGAAATATTTGCATAATGCTGCCGTGTGTGTGTGTGAGAGAGAGAGCGAGAGAGAGCGCGAGAGAGAGCGAGCGAGCGAGAGAGAGAGAGAGGGTCACATCACAGTGGAGTCAGCTGTCTTAACCGTGGCTTGTGTACTGCAAACATATACCAGCTTCATCACTGTCTGTCACGCGACTGTTCCCCTTTCGGGCTCTGTCTTTACATTTATTTTGAAAGCTGACGCTCGCGATTATGGTAAGGGGCGTTACATTTCCGACGAGTGCTTGCAGTGTTCGGCCAATCACAATGCACTGGGTCAGCTGACCAATCAGAGCAGACTGCGCTTGTCGGAAGGAGGGACTTTGTAGAAAACGAAGCATTTGAGAGAGGCGGGGCATAGAGGACCTACAATAATGTACAGTATTTGAAAAATAATGTGTTTTTTTTAACATTAAAGCATGTCAACATATTCTGTTACACCAAATACACAAAATAATGATCTTTAAAACAGCATCATATGACCCCTTTAAAATATTTTTAAATTACATTTCTCGCGTTAAGGCAAAGATGACTTTTCAGCACCATTACTCCAGTCTTCATTGTCACAACATGATACTTTAGAAATCATTCTAATGTGCAGATTTGGTGCTCAAGAAACATTTCTTATTATTCTCATCAAAAACACTTGCTGCTTAATATTTTTCTGGAAACTATCATACATTTGTTCAGGATCCTTTGATGAATAGTAGAGTAAAAAAAAAAGAGGCCATTTATATGTACTAGAAATTTTTTATAACATTATAGATCTATTCACTGTCACTTACTCTATTCACTTACTCAATTTAATGCATCTCCTTGTTGAACAAAATTAATCATTTAAAAAAAATAGGCTAAAACAGAGTTAAAACTCTTGTTTTAGCCCAGTGATTAGTTGACAGGAGAGCAGGTGGCTGTTCATTGTTGTCTAGGGGGCATCAAGATGGATCACACGAGAGATATAGCTCAAGAGCAGATGTAAACGGAGTCAAAACAGGAATGAACGGAAAACAGACTCTTACCCTGCATGGCTTTGTACTGCATGGGTGTGATGTGTTCAAATCCAGGAGGAGGAACATCCCAATATTTTATCACTTTAATCTTTTTCTTCTCACGGTGTGGAGAGTGACTGCCAATGGAGACAGAGAGATCAACAATGAAGGTCTTTGAAAATATACAGGCTTTCATAAAGCTTTCAGTGAATGTCCCTAAGGATTTGAGTTTTTCCAATTTTACCTGCATCTGGGTCTGCGGTCCTTGCTGTCTCCATGACGATCTCGGCTGCCTCCTCTCCTTTCTCTGTCTTGGTCCCGGCTCTTTCTTTTCCTGTCCCGGTCTCTGCTGCGACTTCTCGAGCCACTGCGCCGGTGGTGCTTGTTCTCCTTGTCTCTGTCCGCTGCACAGCACAAAACATTCAACATGTTCATTCAAATTGCCATCTGCTTACTGATGCTCATATAGACACCAATGCCACAAATAAAGCTTTTTTGAAATATATTTACGGGCTGAACAATTCTTCAAAATATCTTTAACTGTGTTCTGCAGAAGTCAGTCAGTCATACAGGTTTGGAAGAATATTTGGGTAAGTTAATGATGACAGGCTTTTCATTTGGGAGAACTGTCACTTTAACTAAATAAACCTAGACCTGATTATTATGAATTTATCAAATGTTTAATTACAGATATGTAAACATGAATAAATAGCATTTTATTCATCACATGCAAGTTTTAACACTGAACCCAGAACATATTTATGCATGCATGCATTATATAAACATTATTTTTAAGCTGCTTATCTTTGCAGAACCCCAAAGATTTGCAATGCATTTAAGACTTAACATCACTGCATCTGTCTGGTGTGCATCTGTGCAATGTGATGCAGACCCTCCTTCAGGCTGCAGGCACGTCCAGCTCCACCAGGAGAAGAGATTTCCTCACTGACAACTACCACATCAGCTCTAACACTTGACCATACCCTCATTCTCTTCGCAGTTAACCTTTTATTCCTCACCTTGCTTGTTTTCGGTCAGCTGTCTCTCAAACTCGTCAAAATCTGACATTTTCCAGCAGCTCCAACACGCCGACTGAGAGTGAAGCGGGCTAGCTAGCCGCTAGCAATTCAATGGCTGCTATTATCTCGCAAACAAAAAAAATAAAGTTCACACCAAGCGTGAAGTAATTAAGAAACTACAGTTTTTGTAAGGCAAAAACGCGACCCTGAGGAAGCAAAGCACAGTTTAATGAAAGCAGCTGGAGTCGAGCTGATGTCTTCCAGAAGCGCTCAGTAACGTTACATACAAAGACTAGCATGAGGAAAGCGTGCTTTCAAAGACACCGAGAGTAAACACACACGCACCGGATGATGTACTGGAATAAACGACTGCTCTGCTAGTGGAAGAGCTCGTGTATTCCTCAAAACTACCGAAATACGTAAAGCACAGCCTCTATTTTCCACAAAATCTCTGTGAAACGCCAAGGCCGTGAGAGTGCGCCCACTAAGGTCAGTGGCCACTCCCAACCACTTCCGGGGCAACTTTACAATTTTAAGCTATTAAAATATATGATTATATTATAAAGGGTATTTATTACAGCTGCTGATTTCAGGAATGTGTATATGCATTTAAAATCATAACATATAAATACACATGTTCTTTACAAACAAATACGGAATAAACTAGGCTGTATTGCTTTGTATCTGCCTGTGTCCCCTAATGGCAGGGGATTTTGATTCAGTCTAGAGGCTCGATTCTTTTGAATCCGTTCATGAAAATTTTTTGTTCAAATTCAGTGATCCTCTCTGTGGGTTGCATCGAGAGTGTGCTTGACAGGTGTTTTTGTGGGTGAACCAGTGAATCATTTACTCAACCGATGCATCATTCATTCAGTTCGTTCACAAACGAGATGACTCAGAACACCGACTCGTTCAGTGAAGGGGGCGTATTCGTTCAGCAGGTCCAACCAATTAAATGTTCCTTTACATCCCTTACTCGAATGTTATTGGCTCTTGCTATAATCAGTATTTGAATGCAGCGAGTGAAAATGATTGTTCATTTAAATCAAAGAATAATAATGATGAAATAAATAATAGAAACAGGATTAAACAAACGAATTTGATAGTTAAATAAATAAATAAATAAATAGGTGAACACACAAGCTGGGTTTTTTGGCATGGGAGCTGAACACGCAGCAGCCAGAAATACAGCTTGGGTGAACCCGAAATAAAATTAACAATAAAATAAAATAAAATATGAATAGAGACGGGACTATCATCCATGTATAAATATAAACAGTTGGTGGCGGTATGTGCCTAAGGTGTGGAATACGCCAAAAATTCCAAAGAAGAAGATTTGTTCATTTAAAAGATTCGTTCAAAATCATCATGACCGAAACGCCACTAGTGGGCGCTTATCTGGAGGTTTGTGCAATGTTACAGTGAGCGAATTGTGCTGCCTTGTTGTAATAATCAAGGATATCTATCTATCTATATATATATATCAAGGGTACACGTAGATATTAAGATATACATTTGTGCTGTAACGAGTCGTCTTCTCTGCATTTTATGTGCTGCTGTTTTTTATGTTATTCATGATTCTGTTGGTGTTATACACGGCTTACTCATTACCATATAAACTTCACTAGAGTTTAACAACAGTTTTACCAATAAGAGCAGTGGGTGGACACTTTAAAGCACATACACACGGGTAACGGTGACCTGGTTAGTCTTCACTTGATCTTTGCGGTCTGCGACTCCCCCATATTGCTCTGCAAACAGTAAGTACTGCTCGTTGGCCTCTGAATACCATTTAACTCTTTTATCAGCGCAGTATGACAGTTGCAATCTGTGTGTAAGTGGGAAAGATTCAATGTATTATTAATATGCAGGGCATTAGAGCACTGCCTATGTACTTTCACTATTGTTACAAGGACAGTGGCTCGAAACCCAATTGGCAGCGTTTTTAGACATTGTAGTATTTATTTTCATTAAACATTTTCTTTTAATTTCATTTAGGTGGCACAGTCAGACACTCATTACAGTTTAGTCACACACAAAAAAAGTATTACTGCAGTAGCTCTTAACATTTTTGCTTTCATTGCCAATAAACTTAATAAGTACTGCTGGTACTTACATGTGTTGTGATAAAACAAAATGTTGTACAACTTTATTTTTAGTGTTTTATTATTTCATTTAAGATTATGTAAATATAACTAAACTGAAATCATTTTAAAACTTATTTGGGCCACATGGAAGTTTTCTGAGGCCCTCTAATGGGCCCCGGCCCCCTGGTAGAGAATCAACACCTTCATAGGAAATTAATAGGGCGTACAAAAAATACAGAGCCATTTTTTGGGATACAATCTACAAATCTTCCACAATGAAGTAGTCTTTGATCATGTCTAAATATATTTCATGCAAACTGTAATGCAGGTAATTATGTACCATGAAAATATTATTGAAACAAAACATCATACATTAATTCGAATAGAATAATGGTATTCTTATTATGTTAAGTTGGTTTTGACCACTAAGGATCATATCTGTTAAGTGAGGAATATCAGAAGAATATCCATTTAAGTTTTATTAATATGGCATCTTTTTTTTTTGACATGTGGCCAAGTATGGTAACCCATACTTGGAATTAGTGCTCTGCATTTATCCCATCCTAAGTGCACACACATCGCAGTGAACACACACAAACACACCGTGAACACACACCCGGAGCAGTGGGCAGCCATTTTTGCTGCAGGGCCCAGGGAGCAGTTGGGGGTTCGGTACCTTGCTCAAGGGCACCTCAGTCGTGGTATTGAAGGTGGGAGAGAGCGCTGTACGTTCCCCCCCCCCACCCACAATCCCTGCCGGTACGAGACTCGAACCCGCAACCTTTGGTTTACGAGTCTGACTCTAACCATTAGGCCACGACTTTTAATATTAACATATTAATTATTTTTCACTTCCAGGCATGTCGAATCTTAAGCATACCTCAGATTTTAACCGAGCAATACCCTAAAGGTTTGGGTCCCACTGTTCCTGAGCTGGGGGCCGAGGGCTTGAAGCCTCATACAAAGACCAGTTTCTCCATGCTGACGGAGAGTGTGGAGAGCTCACTCAAAAGCCTGGGAGACCCTCAGCAGGTCATATTATGTGGCATTGAGGCTCAAGCGTCCATTGCGGTAACATCACATGGCTGTTTAAACTGGTGCAATGGCACTTTTTTACTATCAGCCACACCTTTATCTCCTGATCGTGATCTTTAAGGTTCTTATTCTGCTGTAGTGCACAACCTATGATCTCCTGGAGCGAGGCATGGAGGTTCATATCGTAGCAGATGCCGTCTCTTCTCGAAGGTATAATAATAATTTAGTTTAAAATATACAAAATTGAAACCTGTTGTGATATAATGTATCTTGGTGTTTTGTGATAAAGTATGAAAAATTGTCTTTAAATCATTGCAAATACAAGACTTTTACATACCTTATCTTGACTCACACCCACATCTTTTCAAACACAAACTCAGGTCAATTGATGGATGGCATCTATAAGCTTTTTTCTAAAGGTCTATAGAAACAGGAGGAATTTTACAGTGTTTGCTTACAGATATATGTTTATTTGTTGAGGTGGTTGTGTAGAATCTGCTGTGTCCTATGGGACAATGATTCTCAGGCCAGGGTTTTCTATACATATTTGTCTGTCATTTTCAGTCAGACAGATCGTCTTTTTGCACTGTCACGACTGAAGCAGAGTGGGGTGTTTCTCACCACTACAGAGGTAGTTTTATTACAACTAGTGCAGGATGCCAAGCACCCCAACTTTAAAGAGGTACCTGTTGACCTGTGTGTCAGTCATATTGTAACTCTTTTAAACCTAAAATGCATTCTTTCATTATCTCATGGCACACTAAATCCATCAGATTTTTTTTCTTGTATGTGCATTAAGATATACACACACAATTTATATATTATTTTATATATTATTAATTTATATGTAAATTTTCTTATTTTTTATTCAAGAAATGTAAAATGGAAATATATACAGTTTAAATTTCTTGAATTAAAAAAAAAAATATTTAAATTTAGGATCTTTTACATTTAAGAATGTTACATTTTAATGCATATTTAACACAAAGCTGACAGAAGGAATATAACACAAATGTTGCTTTGGCCACTTTTATGTTTATTTATTTTGACATTTTTAAGTTTGACAGCACTAATTCCTTTTTTTTCTTGTTAAGAAAAGAGCTTGGATATTTTATGAAACATCTCTTTTTGTGTTCAGCTAAAGAAAAAAAAAAGATGGGTTTTTGACTTTTGGGATAAGCTATCGCTTATTATAAGACCTTGAGGAAATCATATGATTCAGCAAGGGTTTTCTTAGCCCTGATTGAAGGTTTGTTTGTGTCTGTATGAGGAGCTGCTGAGGTGGTTGGGATTTTGTAGTGATTAAGTCTGCATTCAGCTATTGTTGTGTTCATGTTCTGACCTGTCCTCCTTCATTTTTTGCACACAGATCCAGAAGCTCTTGGCTCACCCCTCCCCTGATACAGGCCTGCTGGCCTTCTACAGCTCTCTGTAGGGCCAGTCACACACCACACCCTGCAGACATAATTACATCAATTACTAGAAATCAGCACAAACCGCTTTCTGAACCTGTTAAGAGTCATCTGAGCTCTGAGTATTTGTGTGTTCTAATAAAATAACATCCAAAGAAACACGGATATTTGAAATTTGAAAATGTTTCAAATGGTTCTACAAATCTGAGTTTTTGGTAACGCTTTTGGTTCTGCATGTTAACATTAGTTAATACGTTATCTAACTATGAGCAATACATTTGTTACAGAATGTATTCATCTTTGTTAATGTTAGTTAATACAAAAATAACTTTCCATTGCTAGTTAGTGTTAGCTAAGGTCCGTTATATAATATTAACAAATACAACTTTAGATTTTTATAATGTATTAGTAAAGTTACAATTAACCAGTGTTGTGGGTAACGCATTACAAGTAACGCGAGTTACGTAATCAGATTACTTTTTTCAAGTAACTACACTCTTAGAAGAAACGGTTCTATATAGAACCTTAAAAGGTTCTATCAGGCGCTTCATATATGGAACCCCTAAAAGGTTCCATATAGAACCCTTTTCAAGGGTTCAATCAAAAGAACCCTTTAGGGTTCTTTGTAGCCTGGAAAAAGGTTTTATAAAGAACCCTTTAGGGGTTCCCATCATGGGATTATTCTTTGGATTGAATTTTTGTTTTATTTTAATGACATTTTAAGACTTAAACAGCCCATATAGCTACTTTATCACTAAAAAAACTGAAATAAGCATAACACATCAAGGTGTTGTGTGATCATTTAAGACACTTTTATTAGCATTTACAATGACAAGCAATATATAACACAGCAATTCATAGTGCAACAGTTACAGGGATTAACATAAATCCATTTTTCTTTATTTATTCATACTTATTTATTATTTTTACTTCTCTAAAATAGCACTCTCCATTTTAGAAATAGTTTTTTCAGCCCCCTCCACCTTACTCACCCATCCAACATGTCAGTCACAAATATATGTTGATTGCTAAAATTCTTATTTTTTTGCATGTTTGTCACATTTTAATGTTTCAGATCATCAAACAAATTTAAATATTAGTCAAAGATAACACAAGTAAACACAACATGCAGTTTTTAAATGAAGGTTTTTATTATTAAGGGAAAACAAAATCCAAAACTACATGGCCCTGTGTGAAGAAGTGTTTGCCCCCCTGTTAAAACTGTGGTTTATCACACCGGAGTTCAATTTCTCTAGCCACACCCAGGCCTGATTACTGCCACACCTGTTCGCAATCAAGAAATCTCTTAAATAGGACCTACCTGGCAAAATGAAGTAGACCAAAAGAGCTTCAAAAGCTAGACATCATGCCGAGATCCAAAGAAATTCAGAAACAAATGAGAAAGAAAGTAATTGAGAACACTCTTAGAAGAAAAGGTTCTATATAGAACCTTAAAAGGTTCTATCAGGCGCTTCATATATGGAACCCCTAAAAGGTTCCATATAGAACCCTTTTTAAGGGTTCAATCAAAAGAACCCTTTAGGGTTCTTTGTAGCCTGGAAAAAGGTTTTATAAAGAACCCTTTAGGGGTTCCCATCATGAGATTATTCTTTGGATTTCATTTGTTTTATTTTAATTAAATTTTAAGACTTAAACAGCCCATATAGCTACTTTATCACTAAAAAAACTGAAATAAGCATAACACATCAAGGTGTTGTGTGATCATTTAAGACACTTTTATTAGCATTTACAATGACAAGCAATATAAAACACAGCAATTCATAGTGCAACAGTTACAGGGATTAACATAAATCCATTTTTCTTTATTTATTCATACTTTTTTATTATTTTTACCTCTCTAAAATAGCACTCTCCATTTTAGAAATAGTTTTTTCAACCCCCTCAACCTTACTCACCCATCCAACATGTCAGACACAAAAAAAGTCAGAGAAACATTTATTAGACCTATGGAGAGTACAGTACAACAGGAAAAAGAAAGGAATCTCTCACAATTAAATCAAATCTTAAAACTTACTTGAATTAGAGAGGAGTGTGGTGTTTTCATCTGAATGTAGATGACCAAACAAGTAATGCTGCACTCCATAGTCCAGACCTGCAGTGACAGTACAAAATATTTATTTATCAATCAATCATAAGAGCATGATAAAATGTGGAAAACAGAAGAAAAAAATATATCGATAACTTCAGATTAGCTGCGTTTCCCAAAGTTGGTACTGTGAGGAAAAATAAATAATGTACCTTTTGTGTTATTGTTTTGCAGCAAGTCAGTCATGTTTCCTCTGACTTCCACTTTTCAGCACTCTGATAAGGTGGTGGTAAAACTTTAAAAGTGCTCTCTGAGATAGATGAACATCTACAACAACCAAATACAGTGTGTTTAGAATAATATACAATTACTTCAGCAAAACAAATAATTATATTTGACTATACTGCAAACACCAAATATTCAGTTATTCACAGAAAAAAAATCTCCATCAGCTTCTCTCTTTGTTCTTCTTGGTTTGAATTCATGTTTATAACGGCTGTCGGCTGTCCTTTTCCTATAACGTTACATATAGGTCCAATACAATCTACAGGGCAAAAAAATATTAGATATAACATGAACTCTCACCAGCATTATTGATCAATTCACAAATTTTATCAAGATACTTTAGGGATTCATGTTAAAAATGACAAACCTCCCGGAGGAGAATTGCGCAGGCCTGGACAACGCGATAAACCACCTTTCTTCTTTTTAGCTTCTTGAAATAAACGTGTAACGTTAGGCTAACTAAAAATGACAAGGGTTTAGGTAAAAGTAATTGAAATAAGCTGAAATTAATTAATTAATTAATTTTCTCACTTACCAAAGTAATCGTCGTTCTCCCGAGCGCTGAGCGCAGTCAGCGCACCGTAACCGTTGAAGTTTAAACAGAGGCGCTGGCGCGCTTATTAGTGATCACTCTCGCGAGAGGCGCGCGACTGAAATGCGGCGCTGGGACAAAACTGATCAACGCATAAATACACGTTCAAGTTGTTTGCCGTTTATGTCAAATATAATTGTATGCATCTGTTTGGAGGGATGAGTTATAAGAATAGCCTTTTAGAATCTAAATGAAACACTGAAACTCCCAGCTTTAAGTGTGTGTTTAATACGCATTTGTTTTAATGACAATATGACAAAATGACAACAGTGGTTCTCAAATGTTTCAGATGGCAGAATTAAAGCAAAAATCAGAGAAGTACCAATGATCTCAAAACAACTACCTGCAGTTTTCAATAGCGCAAAAAAAATAAAATTTAGTCTATTCCAATCTATGCCAAAAAAGCCAGTCTATAAATGTGCCAAATTGCTTTTTTTACTGAAATACTGACATTTTTTTACTTTTATTTTTTTACTGAAATAACTAATTAATTAGCTAATGAACCTTAGATTGTTTCCTAGCTAAAACAAATTAGACTAAACCCCTACATACTCACATAAATGTCAGTGTTCAATAATGTTACACTCTTAAAAAAAAGGGTTCTTTGGGGTTCTATATAGAACCCTAGGGTTCTTTACTCAACTCCAAAGAACCCTTTATGCCAAAAAGGTTCTATATAAGGAGAAAGAACCCTTTTTGGCAAAAAAGGGTTCTTTGGGCTACCATGCTTTATGTATGTTTACACATTAGGCTATTTAAAATTATTATACTACATTGTATTTGTGTTTTTATTTCAATTTTACGTTGACACACCTTTATTCCGAAGAAATAAACTTAAAATTTACGTCTGCACTTTCAAGATTAATAGAAACTAATTGCCACGTGATCCTGTACACTGAAAAAATGCCTAACATCTAAATTAACTGGTTTTACTTAAGTCTACTATCACTGAATCAAACTATTAATTTATACCAACAAACTGATCAGGTAGAAATACATGTGTACTAGCAGTGTATAGCAATCTGGACAGTTTTATCTATTTATTAATAGGTACACGCTATAGTCTGCTATTTAATCAGCACACTAACATGATTGCAAGTTAGTTATCATGCCATGCAAGATGCCGTAAGTCTTGCATGGCATGATAACTAACTTGCAATCATGTTAGTGTGCTGATTAAATAGCAGACTATAGCGTGTACCTATTAATAAATAGATCAAACTGTCCGGATTGCTATACACTGCTAGTACACATGTATTTCTACCCGATCAGTTTGTTGGTATAAATTAATAGTTTGATTCAGTGATAGTAGACTTAAGTAAAACCAGTTAATGTAGATGTTAGGCATTTTTTTCAGTGTACAGGAACACGTGGCAATTATTTTCTATTAAACTTGAAAGTGCAGACGTAAATTGTACGTTTATTTTCTTCGGAATAAAGGTGCGTCAAAGTAAAATTGAAATAAAAACACAATGTAGTATAATTTTGTGCCAAAAAGGCTTCTTTCTCCTTATATAGAACCTTTTTGGCATAAAGGGTTCTTTGGAGTTGAGTAAAGAACCCTAGGGTTCTATATAGAACCCTTTTTTTTAAGAGTGTAGTAAAGTATCGCATTACCTTTTTAATTTACAAGAAAATATCTGAGTTACTTTTTCAAAAAAGTAACGCCAGTTACTTTGTTTTCCCATTTATTAATAATTGTGCTTCATTGTTTTTTTTATTGCTGAAGAGTGTTTCTTCTCCTGCGTTCTACTGTACAGACGTGAATTTACTTTTCCTTCAGCCTGAGGTTTATTCATTACACTTTTTGGTGTGAAAGGGCTTTTATATTTGCTATAAATAGAACTTCTTATATTAAAAACAATCAAGCCCTGCTCATATTTAAAAAGTAACGCGAAAGTAACGACAAATTAATGTAACGCATTACTTTCCATAAAAAGTAACTACGTAACGCAATTAGTTACTTTTTTAGGGAGTAACGCAATATTGTAATGCATTACTTTTAAAAGTAACTTTCCCCAACACTGCAATTAACATTAACTATGATGTAAATGTAAATGCTATAGAAGTATTTTTCATTGTGAGTTCATGTTAACTAATGTTAACAAATGAAAACTCACTTTAAAATGTTATCACATTTATTAATCAAGCTTCATTTTAATTTGATTAT